GACTACAGTTTCGACCCCCAGCAGGAGTCGAACCGTGACAGTGCAGAATGGGAGCTTGACACGTTAACCAGTCGACGACATTGCCACGAGTGCCTTTGGGTCACAGGGCAAATGTGAATTACAAGGTAGGTCAGGTCTTTTTGCCATATCATATTCTTTGGTGGGATTGTCGATGAAGCAAACGTATATTTGCTACAACAATCGACTAGGTTACTTTATTTTTCGCATTAACGTATTGTTTTGCGACTATCAGTAAATCAGTAGTATGAGAGGTATTCACTCAATTTCGTTTAAGGTGACGAAGGACTGGACTCCCGCTGGAGGTGTTGATAAGACCGATGCGAGGTCTTGGATGAGAACAACTTTTGGGAAAGCGATGCTATGTGAAATTCAATGAAAACGTCAGCTCTACTCATATGATTGTGGGAAAATACAATTGCCAGTCCATCATTATCTTAAACGAAATAGGATGAATACATTTTTTATCCGTTTCTAAATTACCATAAGCTAAGTAATGCGATGAAATTCCCATTCAAGAATTACTGTTGGTCTGGCTGCCTTCTCACATCGGAAAGCATGTGAACACTTTTTGTTCTATCTTGAACATGCCCCTCCTTTATCCACTTCACGCCGACCTTTAAGAATTACTCCCGTTTCTTAGTTTTACGCCTGCTCCTCACCATTAAGTAAAGCAACGATGGTTGAACACACGAAACTCAATGTATTTTTCGTTTCACATGTAGACTTTTTAAGACTAACAATAGATCCGATGTAAGAGATGTTTTCGGTCTATTTCGTTTAATCCGCTAAACGGTTGGTAGTTCGAACTGGCCCACATTCACATGAGCGGCCTTATGTTCCCATTGCATTTCACATAGTCTTGATTACCGGAAAATGTTCTCATCCAGTTTTTACGTATGAAACGAAAAGTGAACATTGCACTCGATTGCCGCGAGCTTGTATCTGCTGTCCACTCCAGTCGGACGGCAATGTGAAATTTAGTGGAAACGTAAGACCTACTGCTACTAATGTAGTAGTGGGAAACTTCAATTATCGGTATTCCCCTCAACATAAAGCTGAACTTGCCAATGCCTCTTCTGCCTCGCATCAGTTGCCCAAAGGGACGTATTTTGTGTTCTGTTACAAACATTTACAAATGACGCTTCTGCCTTGTCTATCCTTTCTGCTAATGCCCAATCTTCAGTCATTTCTTTTCAACACACACACACACACCAACAAACTAGCCTGAATCGAGCAAATAGAGCCCCTCTTCCAGTTTTAGTATAGACTGAGCCGGACGCCTGCTACCAATCTGTACCAACAAGGTTTCTCGGACCACCAGACGGCTGGCATGGATACCGGCAGTCCGGTAGCCCCACTGTTGCCAGCCGCCCACCCTTGATCCGATCATTCTGATGCGCCTCGAGACGCCGGCTCCAGCCTCGCTCAGGCGCCCAGCGCTGCTGACCAACGCCTCGAGTCCGCTTGCCAGCTTCTGCCGTCGTCAAGCGCTGCCGCTCCTCTCGCCGAGCCAGAGCCGTTGGCTGATCGGTCTTTCCAGTCTCTCTCTCACCCTCGACGGTCTGACCATCCTCCTTCTCGTCGCCAAGACGCGCCAGCTCCGCACCAGCCCCCTCCTCGGCCTCTTCCTCACCATCACCATGGCACAACTCATCGTTGAAGCCAGCTTCATGGCACTCGCCGTGGACGGTCTCTTCGTCGGGTTCGTGGACGCCGCCACCGCTACTGCTGCCCACGATCCCGACGACCACCAGCCTCTCCTCGGCCGTTCG